TGACATACTATTTCCTACCAATGAAACCCTGAGCTTGTTAGAGAAAATTCTGACTCTAGGTCAGAATAGAAAGTGTAAAGGACCCTGGCTTGTTCTGATATGCCCGGTGACAAATGTGACAAAATGTTGAAGCATGGCGGTAAAATATCTTGCAATTCACATAACTCTTCTACAATGGAGGGAAGCCATTGCCATAGATTATGGATAAGGGGAGTTTATTTCTCAGCCCTTTTGCATCTAGGAGAGCACTGTGGTGACTGAGGAATCCAGACAGACTGGTTCCAGCTGCACCTCCCAGGTCTCAGAGCTTTAACATGCTTGTGTCTCTGTTTCCTCTTGGAACCCAGCACATGTGGAGAGCACTTGTATCTGGCCCAGGATTCGGCTCAGATGAGCTCCTAGCCAACAGATACCATCTTCTGCCATGGGTGACAGGGAGTCTTCTTGACCGTCTAGCCCAGCTGAGCTTTGAGATAACTACGACCTCAACTAGTAATCGACTGCGCTCCATCAAACACCTTGTGGCAGGAAGATAATGACTCCAGACATCCTGTTTCTCTAGGATCTGTAGCAAATGACAGTAGGATTACCAATCACCTGACCTTGAAGTAAAGAGACTATCCTCACTAGTGTGAGCTAATAGCCATTGCAAGAATCCTTACTAGTAGAAGAGAAAGAGACAGAAGATACACCTATCACCTTTGGTTTGAAGACAAATGAAGGGGACCCCAAACTAAGGATGATGAGTAGGCTCTAGAAACTCAAAATGACAGATTCTACCTTGAGCCCCAGAGAACAGCATTGCCCTGCTCACAGCCTGATTTTAGGTTGCACATCCAATTCTGATGTCAGATATCCAAAACAGTACACCATAGTGCATGAGCCTGTAACTTTATGGTAATTTGCTCTAAGAGAGATAAGGGATGAATACAGATGCTGGAGTCTGTAACAAATCAAACCGCAGGGTGATGAAAGATAAGAAACCAACCAGTTTTGAGCACAGCTTTTTGTGCAGAGCAATAGAAACTGGAACAGCATGGGGTATTGAATCTATGAGGATGGGGTATTGAATCTATGAGACTGTTTAGTCAGAATTCCTGAGCCACTGGGCAAGGAGGAGATAATTGGAACATGAAAAAGAATGACTCTTCAATAGATTATGAGGCTAAACATATTAAAATCCATGACCATGAAGATACAATGAAATCAATCATCTTTGGAGGCTGTCTGAAAACCAATTCATTACTTAAAAAAAAAATGTTAAGAAGCAAACAAACCGGTTGACTTTGTCTTTTATATCACCAAATATGAGGAGAGGAAAAGACTTTTCTTCATCTAATATTGTCAGCAATAGAGGAGGAAGGCCTGGTTATACTGTGGATGTGTCCCAACATGTTTTCTTGCATTGTGACCGAAAGCAACTTGAGAGGTAAGAGTTTATATCACCTTACAGGTCACAGACATTCAGCTAGGAACTCAAGGCTTCTGGATGAAGCAGAAGCCACCGAGGAATGCTTGCTCACTGGTTTGTTCCCCTGACCTGCTCAGCTCCCTTTCTCACACAGACCAGGCCTGAACATTGTCCACTATGGATGAGAATCCTTCTACTTCACCTACTGATCAATAAAATGCCCACAGACCTACCCAGAGGCCAGTCTGATGGAGGCAATTACTCAGTTTTGAGGTTCCTTCTTTCCAGGTGTGTCTAGATTTGTGTTAGGTTGACAGAAACCAATCACTACAGTTTATCAACTATGTGGTTCTTAATTAATGACTCTAAGCACAGAGAGTTAGCAGTAGTAAAAATTTCCCAAAACATCCAAATGCTTTTCCCACCAATAAATGAGGGAGAATAGGCAGCCGAAGGAAGTGTATTGGAGAGAAGAATAGAGAAGAATCAGAATCATATCAGATAAAGCTAGCCTCGGGTATCAGCTCATAGTCTATGCAAAGGACAGAGGTGGAAGAGGAGCTAGGAACCTGAGGGACAAAGTGTGCTCTAGGAAGTGCTATGTGTAAATGTTTGTTCTTCAAAAAATAAATTCCAAGGGGTCAACAGGCAAAGAAGGTAAGTACTATATATTAAAAGATGCCCCCAAACCGATGAGAAGTAAACCTATAAGGTAAGGATATCCCCCTGGGTGACCACAATAAAGCACAATCAGCCTAAAGGGTACAATTCCAGAATATTCCCACATGTAGAGCTGGGGGAATTGGCAAAGGAAACTGAGACACGGCCAATGTAGAAGGAAAACAGGTAGAGTAGCAGAAACCAGAAGAAGAACTTGTTCCAAGGTGGGCTGCTGCCACCTGGACCAAAAGCTACCACCAAGTCAATGGGACAGAGGTTTACAAGCCCGCTGTTTACAAGCATGGAAATCATTGGTGACCTAGCTAAGAACAGTAGCAGAACAGCACAAGGCTGGATCTGAGTGCAAAGCAGTAATGGGAAGACAGGAGAGGCGTCCAGTGTCTATAGGCAACTCTTTGAAGGTGTTTTTTGAGTGGCAAGAAGTAGCTGAGTAGTAGTAGTTAGAGGACAGCATGATGTTGACAGAGATTTATTCAAATGCTGGGATTTATTCCAACATGTTTGTAAACTAAAGGAAGGCTTAAAGATATAAGAAAGAAAATGAGCAGCAGCAGAATTCTTGTAACATTGTGAAGGAAGGAAACTCAATGCTCACATGAGTGCAGTACCTTCCTCAAGAGGAAGTAAAAGGGAGCCTAGACTGGATTCAGGAGGAAGGAAGGGTCTTCCTACAAGACAGATAACATATTCTTCTTCCAAATGCTGGCAGCCCATCACCCTCGAAGACTGAGAGATGAATCAATCATAGGATACCATTTACTAACAATGGGATTGAGAGTAGCAGGTTTTTCTTCCTTTTCTTTTCCTTTTTTCCTTCCTTCTCTCTCTCTCTCTCTCTCTCTCTCTCTCTCTCTCTCTCTCTCTCTTTCTTTGAGATTTATTTATTTTAAAGTGTGTGTGTGTGTGTGCGCGCGCGCATGCACACGAGTGCGCGTGTACATTTGAGTATAGATGCCTACAGAAGCTAGAAGAGGATCTCATCAGATCCCCTGGAGCCAGCATTACAGGTAGTTATGAGCTTCCCGGTATGGGTGCTGGGAACCAAACTAGGGTTCTCAGCAAGAGCAGCACGTGCTCTTAACTGCTGAGACGTCTCTTCAGCACAGTTTCAATTAGTTATAGAGCACTACTAAGAAATACATTTTTGTTATTGTTATAACCCAGTACACATGCATGCACGAATGTACACAACAATACAATGCTTGCTGTTCTTAGGTACATATTCCTTTTTTTTTCCCAAGTCATCCAGGAAAACTAGACCAGCAAGGACCAAAGTGTAACAGGTCACTATACTGGGGAACAGTAACATTAAGGGAATATATGTCAAGAAATATGCCAAGAAAGCAAGACTCCCAAGAAGAGACAGGACTTACTATTTCAGAAATGTCTGCAAATCGGGCCTATTATTCCAGACCGTACTGAAAAGACTACTGTTGATGTGTATGAATAAATTATGCTTTTAATTATTTGCTTCTTTTATATTCCTTTTTAATTTTTCTGGAATTTATTTGGCCTGTAACTATATAAATTACATATATGCACCCGAAATGATCAGAAACACTCTTTAACCACATCCCTGGTTAAGCAATACAACAGTTTCAGGAACCTGTGGGTCTTCAGTCCTGTCTGTCTCCTGAGTCACCTGAGGTAATTGCCACCTTTATTTTATTTTTATTTTATTTTATTTTATTTTATTTTATTTTATTTTATTTTATTTTATTTTCTCTATTCTGTTGCCTTCCTTGTATTCATAAGCAATACAGATTATCTTGGCAGGATTTTTGTTCTTTAGATAAATGAAATATGACATCTCACTCCTTTTGGTAAATATCACGTCAATATCGATAAATTTCTCCACATTTCCTTTGTGATATGTAATTCTATAAACAAATATATATCATAGTTTTTCTGTCCATCCAGTTTACTGCTGATGAAATGTAGTTTGTTTTTCTTTGCGAAGCCCGGTTTCTTCCTCCCTACACACGGCTTCAGGAGCCTCTCAATGGCACACATCTTAGATGGACAGTTGCTGGATCAAAGATTGCAAAAAAAAAAAAAAAAAAAAGAGGGGAGGGAAAACTTTCCAACCCACACTAACACATGCTTCCTATTTTCTTTGTCTTTCTTTGAGACAATGTCTGATAGACCCTACCTAGCCTCACACTGGCTATAAAGCCGAGGCTGGCCTTGAACCTCTGATCTTCTTGCTTCCACCTACCAAGTGCTCCTAAGCAAGAGTGTTCTACCATACAGTTGTTTTGTGCTCCTTTGGCTTTGGAGACATTGGACACATTTGGATATGTCATGTAGCCCAGGTTGGCCTCCACCTATATAGCTGGGATTATAGGCTTGTACCACCATCTCTAGCCTTTCTATTTTTCTGTGACTACTACATTCATTGACAGTCTGGTAAGTGGGCACTGGTCATTCACTAGGGGTATGAATAAGCATTTTTATCTTTTCACGTGTTTATTGATCTTCAGATTTCAGATTATTTTCTTTCATTTCACTTAAAAATAGTGGAACTCACTACAATAATTTAAGGTCTCTATTTGAAGGCAACTGATAAACGTATATTATTTCATCTTCCTGAACTTATTTCTAGATCTTTAAGATGACAAGAACCCTATCATAAGGCTGTGAGGATGATCAAGTATCATAGGGGAAGCACATACTAACACTAAGCATTCAGTGTGTACTCAGGGATTAATAGCTACTATTAATACAACTTCTTTTAAACAATAAAGAAAACTGTTAGAGACTGAGTCAAGGGCATAGGCCATGGCTAGACTGCTTTGCGGTCCATATCTACACTCAGTTTCCATACAACCACAATGTAGGACATCTCCCTATCTCTCAGAACACTAGGTGCTACATGCTACCAAGGTGGCTCCAGCTCTTTTTTTTTTAAGAGTTATTTAATTATTTTATGCATATGAGTACACTGTAGCTGTCTTCAGACACACCAGAAGAGGGCATTGGATCCCATTACAGATGGGATACCACCATGTGGTTGCTGGGAATTGAACTCAGGACCTCTGGAAGAGCAGCCAGTGCTCTTAACCACTGAGCTATCTCTCCATCCCCAAGTCTTTAGCTCTTAAGAGAGTTTAAAAGAGTTCGTGTGTCAGCAGTGTTTGAATGCCACCCCAGGACTTTGGTGTGGATGTCCAGGACAGTAAGCAGCCACAGGCTCAGCAGCACCCAGATCGCTCTGTCTGCACATGATGATTTTTGTCACAGCAGTTTTCCATGGGTTTATGGCCAGGGCCCCATAAAATAACACTTTGACCCCTAGAAAGACCCCCAAGACAAATCCATGCCCACCACTCTCCCTCTCTTCCTAAGGACTTCTCCACTCTTTGCTGAGATATTATAATGCTGCAAAGAGCTTAAGCAAGGAAGCCTTAGGATGAACCTTGGGGTGTGGATAAGGTCTTCTCACCTCCCGCCACCCCTCCCCCACGTAGAACTCTTACATAGAAGGCAATGTATTCTGACAGATTGGGCTGATTCTACTTACATTTGCGATGCCGCGAGTGATCATGAAGAGCCGCAATCAGCCTGTTTTCTGTGACGCTCTTGTTTCTCTTCCTGCTCCCCTCATCTCTCCTCACCTGCTCTCTCCCATCTTTCTCTCTCTTTTTCAACAGAGTGTCCTGTACTGCAGGCTGGCTGTAAATTGACTATACAGCCTGTTGCTTCTGCTTCCCATCTCCCAAGTGCTAGCATTGTGCGTCCCACCACATTCAGTTTATAGGACACTGGGGATCAGAGTCAGGGCTCTGGGCTTTATAGCCAAGTGTCCTGGTCACTGAGCTTCATCCACAGCCCTGGATTTTGTTGTTTTCAGAGCAACTCACAACTAGCTAGAGATAATATCCCAGGGGCTAAGGGTGGACAGGAGATACAGGAGATGGCAGCAAAGAAAAATAAAGAAGTCAGTCTCCTTACTACTATTAGCAACTAGAAGATTTAAAAACACATTTTCTTGCTGAAATATTTTCTTGCTATCTTTTAGAAATAGCCAAAAACATGTAGACAAGCTTTATTTGAGATACTCCTTTTCAAGAAATTCATCTAGGTATTTCTTAGATAATTAGAAACTTTTAATAACATTTCAAGTATCATAAAATTCCAGTTTTTCCTTCTAAATGACCACATTGTCATGTTTTCTCAGTGAAAAAACCCCAGGTATTCCCGTGATGGAGACACTACGTCTAATTTCTTTTTAAGCCAGATTTGAAAGCTGAAGTTGCTCAGATAATTAGTTTGCAATAAACATGATGCACCAAACTGATTTCTAAATTTAGATAACAGTTTAATCTCCTCTTAGAATAACCAAGAAACAATAGAAGTATTAATGATAATGAAGCTTCCATAATTAAAAGTCAAATACTGAGATAACAAGCCAAAATGCACGCGCCCATGGAAAAGACAATTCTTGCAAATGGTTATTTTCAGCTCCTCTTTACAGAAAAAAGAAAACCCTCCAAAATAACAGCCAACCAAATCACAACATACAGACCAAAGTCTCATAATTTTGGTAAATTTGCTGATAATACATGTTATTTAAAGGAAAAGCAAATGATGAACAAAACTTTGAAGATTAAAAAAGGGAAGGTTGTTTAATAAATGCTATGATTTCTGCGTGCAGTGGTTTTTTAAGCATTTCGAAGCAGTGAATATCAGTATCCGTATCCTCACAGTGTTGGCTCACATGACCTTGAACACTGTCGATTCTGTGTCCTTCCTTGGAGGTTTCGGAGGACCAATTTTTGGTAGCATCTCCTTGGCATACTGTGTTTTATGGAGTCCAGCTTCTCGAAGTGCTAACTCAAATCGGAGTCGAGGGTCAGAAGTTATCTGTAGACAAAAAAAAAAAATGGGGTTTAAGTAAACAATGACTCATTTAGCTGAAGTACATCATATCGTTCAGGTTTGTTTTCCCAAGTTGCATAATTTTTAAAGGTGGATGGTTAGATGGTAATAAAGCTTGTTAGTTCTGTGACTGCAGAGTTTTTACTGAAAGTGTCCAAACTGTGTTTTACACTATCACATTCCAGTGTAGTGTTTATTTCCAGCATAGAGTGAATTCAATATTGTTTACTACATCAATCAAATACAATTTATTAAACTTATTTTAAAACGGAATAGATGAACCTTACTTACTAATGGTTATCTATTGTTGGCTAGAATCATATAAATAAAGGGTTGTAAAATAAATCTACTTCAATAAATAAAATCAGTCTTTGGAATATATTTTCAGGGGGCTGTTATTCAAGAAAGCCATATTTTTAAGTGTATGAGTGTGTGTCTGCCTGCATGGTTATGTACCATGTGGTTGTGTAGTGCTCACAGGGACTAGGAGAAGGCATGGCAAGTTGCTTAATGAATCCTGCATAATTAAAACTCAAATTGTAAAATAACAAAAAAGAAACAATGTAGCTATGGAATCGATAATTCTTGCAAATAATATTTATGTATTTTTCCAGACTACAGCTTACCAAGCTATGGCATGGGTAACAGAAGTCCCATGATCTTGGTTAATTTGATAATATCAACGCCTAGAACTAGAGTTGTGGGAAGTTATGAGTTGTGAGATGGCTCTGGGGAACCAAATCCAGGCCCCTAGCAAGATCCACAAGTGCTCTTAACTGCTTGGTCACCTCTCCAGCACCCTGCTCATCTAACGGCCACTGTAACTTTGCTATCATTTAGTAATGCGCAAATTGTGGACAAATACACGATCACTCTTTGAAAAAGAGAATCTCAGGCTGGATTTCTATTTCAAACAGAACTGGAAAATGCCCCAGCCATCCCATGCTAAGTTGGAGTAGACACAGACACCCCAGCTTCTGTTCTCATTTATACTTGACTGGCCCATAGTCTCCTTCCTATGAATCTTAAATGTCATGATAAGCGATGACCACATATGGCCATTTTACCTGAGTCTGATGTTATCCAATTTCCTAAAAGATATAGTCGTAAGCTTCTGAAAACAGCACCCTCCATGAGGTTCCTGACTGAACGGGAGCAAAGGGAGGTTCACAGATAACCAGCAAACGGCTCTGCCTTGTGTAGTGAAACGTGGAGGTGTGTGCGGTGGTGCTGGCATGAGGATGCTCTCGGGTAAGAAACAACCAGGGCAACCTTGAAGTCTGACTTAATCTTCCAGCAGTCAGAGGGGGAGGAAGAGAGATCTAATCGGACAGGGAGGCCTCACATACAAATGTTGAAGTGATGAGGGGACTTTGAGCAGAGTACTGTGCCACTGAGGAGCTTGGCCACGAAAGGACACGCCAACTGGGGCTTGGATCTCGCAGCCTTGAAGGCCGTGCTAGCAAGTGTCATGGGTGTTTGTTTCTGCTTTTAGCATCCAAGTGTGCCTGCATAAGATGAATCTGATCATAAAGTCAGAATAAATTAAGGTGGTAGGGGGAAAAAAGAGATGGAGGGAGGGGAAGCTCAGGAGGTTACTGTGACTGTCTAGACATGAAGTAATAAATACCTAAACCTGTCTGGAAGTAGAGACAACCTAACTGAAGGGAAGACTCAATGACAACCAATCAGAAGCAGGGCTGGAGTACTGAGGAGTTTGAGATCAGAATAATCCAGAGGTCCCTGTCTGAGAAACAACTATTTGAGCCTAGGACCCAGGCTTCTCTTCTATCCCCAGATATTCTGACTCACTTTCAAGGACTTCCACTCCCTGTAAGATCTGTATGCTGTTTACTCCCGAATTCTCTCCAGGATTCACCTCCTCCAGAACCAGGGCTGTGGAGCCTTAAATTTTTTTTTCCATTATCGAATTTTTGAGTAAAAAGTAAATGAAGAGAGAGGTTTCTCCTCCCAATAGACTGCTAATCAGTTTCTTGAAAGGATGCTTTAGACCTCCTCACCCTAAACGTGACACAGGCAAAACAAATTTGCTCCCCAGGCTTGTTTTTCCTTCTGTGTTCTTATATGGTTAATGACAGATCCACAAAACGGCAATAATTTGTTGAATCACTGCCGAATACCAGGCAATATCCTAGGCAGTTGATATTTATTATTTCTAATCCCCAGAAGAACTTTGCAAGTAATTATTTTAAAGATGAAGAAAGCAAACATAAAGATGTTAATAGCTTAGGCGAGTGCACGCAGCCAGTAAATCTCGAGCATGGATTTGAATCCACAATGCGCGATTGCGGTACTTGTCTAGCTTGGACTAAGAGGAAATGGTCTTCGCTCTCTTTATCCCCTCCATCTCTCCAGCCCGAGCTCCGCATGACTCTTTAAACACCACTTCCATTCCTCTCCCCCAACATCCATCTATTTTCCATTCGGGATCCAAGGATAAAATACAAATGTCATCATTTAACTTACCTTCTTTAAAATAGCATGTCTGGTCACGGGATAAAGGTCAGATGTCTGAGTAGAAAGGCTTCCTGTGTATCACAGCTGGGCCCTAGACCAAGTTTCCACTCTCAGTTTTGCACTTAACCTGTGCCCGGGCCTCTGTCTCACAGTGAAGACACTCAGCGAAGGGCCTTCTCTTGGTCTTCTCTGCCTGGGAAACCCCTGATAGCTTGGTCCAGAGACGTAGGACCTTTCCTTCCTCTGAGTTTAGCCTGTGTAGGACCCAGTTGTCTTCTCTACTATCGCAACTGGTTCTAGAGAGATATACCTACACATTCCTGAAAGGAATTCTTCTCCCTGTGCACATCAGCCTCCTTTCCCTTTAAACTGTAAATCATCTTGAACGAGTTTTTTTAGTAACAACTGGCCCAGATTGTTAACTCTGCTCACGCTCAGAAGCGCCAACTCTGTAACCTCCCAGGCAGAGATCTCCGTTCTCTCCTCACAGCTGGCACAGAACTGGCCTCACGCTGTGCAACTTCTGAATATGATACTTCCCTTCTTGACCTAGAGAGTCACTTCTTCCAGGAAGGATCAGTCTGGCTCATTTAGGTTGGAGCCAAGAGCTACACTCTTTCACTGAACCCAGAATACAGTGTCTATTTCATAAATATCTGATTACTGACAAATGAAATTTTAACCTTACTATTCTCCATCAAGTATGCAGCACTCAGGAGAGGCACTTTGAACTCATTTGGCAACAGGTTTCTTGAGGATTTTGGCGTGATCTCCCTAATTCTGTAAAACTCATGACTGCTTGCTCCCTTAATTTGGGTGATATCCATGCATTCATGTGTCTTCTTTCCTACGCTTCTCTGCTGAAAATTCTTTTAAATCTCTTTCCTCAGTTCTAGTCACAAACAACACACATTCTAAGCTCCTGCAAACAGCTCCACAATCCCTCAGTGGTGATAGTTGTCTTCAGTACTGCCTCATTAGTTGCCCATTTAACAGGATTTATGCCATGAATTTAGAATATAAAGTCATAATACAACAGAGGAATCTTTGAACCTTAAAGAAATACCGATGACTTTTTTTTCAAATCAATGACTTTTGAATAAAATATTGCAAAACCTCTTTTAATGACAGATATGATTTTACACTGTTTTATGTTGCACTTTTATAATATTTAGAGTCATACAGCAATTATGTGTATTATTTACAAAGAGAAAATATGCTAATATATAGGGTATCTCCAGGTAAATATTAAAATTCATTTGTAACTCAAAGCACACACTCGAGCAATTCTTCCTGTTCTCAGCATGGATTTTACACCAGCAATGCCACTTCCCATAAGTACCTGCTGCTCGTTGTAAGTAGTCAATGTAAAGAGGGGCTTTTGAAGAATGAATTCTTCCTCATTTTCAACTCCTGTCCTAGCTTTCCAGGCCAGTGTCTCTGACATCATTCTAACTGGATCAGACTGGACAGTGACAGCAACCTGAGAGAAGAGAAAGCAGAGCCACTCAAGATGGGGTACAAGCTAAACGTTTCTGGGTAAGATTATGGGTTTGCTTGGTGGCCATTAAAAAACTTCTTAAGTCTAAAACTGTAGAGGAAAGAGCAAAGGGATATTAAATCCAGGCCAGCCCCAGTCACTTACAAATGAGTTAAAACACATGTCAAACAAAACATTATAACCACCTATAACGATTAAATGGTCACAATTATGATTGAGTTCAGATATATATTCATCTGTGTAATAGAAGTCAGAGGCAATCTTACATTGAAAACCCCCCTTGAAAATGACAAATAGCAGCAAAAATTCATATTTCAGCAGCTATCAATCTATGGTTATGAGTAACAGCACCACAAGGCTTTCTAGTAAAGTCAATTGCTCAGTCACTGCTGGACAAACTGGGTGTACTTCCACTGTACTAGGCAAGTAGATTCCTTGGGACTGTTAAAGACAGTGAGTTGCCTTTTTACTATTAAGCTGGAGAGTCATTTTAACACAAAGTCCTTGTCCTGCATAGTAATAACTATTCTGACCCAGATCTTAATGAAAAGAAGCCACTGGTTTTGTCAATCATATGCACCATTGCCAACACCTGCCTATTAATTCTGCAAGTCAAGAATTTGCATGAGGTCAATGGCATTTCCATGCCATTTCAAAACTGTAATAAAACGACTGGGGTCAGATGTAATTTAATTATTACAGGCTTTCTAGCCCAAATGCCATATATTACAGTTCTAAACACTGACTCCATGTGATGAGAGCACAGGACTTCTTCTTTAAAAGACTACTGGTTAGAAGGAGTTCTAGTCACATGAATTCTGTAACCAGTTACATTTGTAACAAGAACGTATTCAGTGGTTGTGACGCTAAGGCTGTCTCCGGAAAGCCATAGCTTGTAATTCTTTGCTAGTGATTGAATAATTTGATTTTTTTCAGATATAGAATAAAGAGATTTTATATTCTTATGCTTTGACGTCATCTCTACAGCCCATTTTATCGAAGAGGAGGAGGACTATGTGAGAGCTGTCTCACAGGAGTCCTATTTGATGCTATTAGGTATGTGACCCTGGAAAAGCATCTGACCTCTTGGTTTCTGCTTTCACAACATGGGATGTCAATAGTACTTACTTCAGAGGGATACTGAGGAATCAAGCCAAGTTTCACTTGAAAGCATTGGAAGAGGGCTTTGCACTTAGTAAGCACTCACAACTTTGAACTCCGGTTACTGCAAACCTATGGGGCAGGTACTGGCTTTAGTATTCCCATTTTCCAGCTGAGGAAACAGAGCCAAGACAGGTTAAGTAAATGACTCAAGTGTCCTCTGGCATTGACTACTTAACCAGCTGTTCCGGTGTTGAAGGACAATCAAGGTCAAAGTTTGTACAACCTCCATTCAGAAAGGGGACTACACAACCACTTCCCATTGGCTAGGCTGTGTAGTTATCAGTTGAACAAACCTCTGGGGCTCAAAGATTCCCTAACCAACTTTTTGGTTCCAAAGTTCTGGCAAAATTACCAGAGGAACTATCTCACTTCTCAATTTCTAAAATCCCTGCATTTGCCATGTACTATCCACTTTTACCTACTCTGCCTACTTTTCTTAGGCAAGGCCGTGGGAGGCTTTTAATGCTATACAAAGGGGGTATTTGTAAAGTGGTGCTTAAATGGGCTTGTTGACTGTGGGATTTTTCCAAGCAAAGGTTCCCACTTGAGAGTGGATTATCTTGCTCTACCACATTTTTGAGGACAGGGAAGTCCTTTGACTGGAAACAAGAGTTTCACTGCTGCAAACCGATACTGTTTGGATAATGAACGAAGAGGGGGTATGGACACACTTAGATCCTGGGAGGGAGCTTTTTAAATGCTGCTGATAAACTTCTTTAAATATATCAAGAAATTGGACCTGCTTCAACATAAACCTCACTGGCTCCTGGGAATGAAAACCATGTCCTAGTTTGGAAAAGTTACATTTTGTATAGCAGGTATCGTGGTCTAAGTCCCAGTAATAATATAATTAGCACACTCAAAAACATTTAAAAAACAAACGAAAAATTGAAAACACCTGCTTTCGTAGGGCTTCCAGCCGCCTCTCTCTCTCTTCTTCTTCCTGGACTTCTTGAAGGGCCAATTTTTTTCTCTCCATCAAACGCTTCTCCAACAACTCTTGTCTATATTTAACCCTTTAGAAAAGAGACACAGGACAGGTAGGTGGCCCATAATTAACTGACACGTGCAGTATAGCGACAAGAGCACAATGGGAACCATCTTGGAAGGGGTGCTACTCCACAGTTCGATTTTACTTGGTTTGATTTCTCAAGCCAAACGATGAGAGGCAGTTTACAGTGATTCCATAACCAGTGAGATACAGGAAATCCTGGAGTAAAGTCCAGCTGGACTCAGGCTTCTCTGCCACCATTTTCAGCCCTGACCCTGTCGACTAGCTGCCGTAGCTACAGCAAAGGTGCCCTGAGCAATAACCACAGGATCCTGAGTTATGACACAGCCTTCTGACGACAAGTGTGGACACAGCTTGAGGAGCTATAAAGATTAAATTACTGACTAAATGCGCATACTTTTAGAAAGCAGGGTAAAAAATTACTGTAACCATGTACTTAAATTATTTAGGTTACTAGAACTTAAACTATGCTTCATAAATAATGTCTCTCCATGAAGTGCACTTATGGGCATATCAGGGAAACTTTACAAATTGCACTCTGACATCTGTAGATGGCAGCAAAAACATGACTTTCTCCCTTCAGCATTAGCTTCCCATCTTCTTTCAAATCATCAGATGTTAAAACAGGGTGCACTAAGACATAGCTCAACGCTATGAGCTCACCTGGCCCTCTCTGATGGTATTCCTTCTATGCTCCACCCAGCAGTTACTTAGCAACAGCCAGGTAGATCTGGCTTGCTAAAAAAGGGACTTTTTGGCCTCTGTGACTCTCTCTGACTCTGACTCTCTTCTCTCCCTAACCCCTTTCTCCCTCTCCCTCCTCCAAGTGTTCTTGGCCAGCTTCTCCTCCTACCCTACCCCCCCAACCCTCTTTCTGTCCTCTGTCCTCTCTCTTTCTCTGCCTCTACTCTCTTCTCGACTCCCTTTCCCATGCCCACAAATAATCTCTATTCTATTCTAGACCCTTCCTATGGCTGGGCTGGTACCTCAGGGGGAGGGATGCCTCAGCATAGCCCCGCTGAGGCACCCCCTCCCACCACACCATACCTCTCTGTTTAAAACATATTCTTGGTTTTATAAAACACATCATCACTCTCTGCTGCCCGTATTTGAGTATCGAGTAGCCTTGATTACTGCCATCTTCTTGTCAAAGCGATCCCATTGATTTAGAGAGAGGAGATTCACCATTTCCAAAAAGCAGGCACCTGAGTTCTCAGGAAGATGAGGCCATACTGGCCTTCTATAGGCAACAACTTAGATTTAATTTGTTTTGTCACATTAGTCACAGACGCCCTTTGCCCTTAGTGTACACAGCAGTATTTTCTATGGGGGTGTCTTGGCTGGCCTTCCATGCTGGAGATTCCGATATGCTCCGAGTGCTCAGGAGGCAAAGGCCTTGTGCTAAGTGCTTTACAATTCCTACTTTTTACACCTCGCAACAATCATAGGTAGAGGGTATAATTTTGTATATATGATTTTGTCTTCTACAGGTACAGAAATGGAGGCACAGACAAATAGTGTAATTTGTCCCATGTCTCATGCTCATTAAGTAACAGAGCAGAAATATAACCCAGAATGACTGTTCTCAGCACCAAGGCTGAGCCTCTACCGTCCCACCCCCTGCAATGAACCCCTGTGCTGTCCTTCTCCCTAGATCTCTCCTCCTACATCAAGTGTCCCTAAACACCTACTGAGCTAGACAGTGTGGGCATGCTGAGAACAAAAGAGTCTTCCTTAGAAGTTTATAACTTAACATAGAAACAAGACATGCCTGAGAACCAAACAAGGTTCTCAGACTTGGCAGGGTGATACAAATATGGTCCCCGGTGCTGCAGAAAAGTGCGGGGGCCACTTGTTGGAGTGTTGACATAAGAAAAGCTTCACCGAGGAGGGGCATTTGGGCTGTGTCCATAAGATGAGGATTTTGGAGAAGCCACTGTGGTGAGAGCAGAGAGGAGGAGACAGGAAAGGGTGGGGTGGGGACCTGAAAATGGGCACCTTTCTGGTCTTATCCTAGTCACAGACAGCATGGAACCCGGGAAGGAATTGGCGGCGGTGCAGGGAAGCTGTGGTGGGCTGAGCCGGGCGGTCTTTCCGTTTCCTCCGATGTGATTTTGGGAGGGATGTTCTTGAAATTCTGCGTGCTCATGAACTGGCAGTAAAGGAGAAGCAGGAGGCGAGGACGGAAGGAAAGCTCATGAAATAGGAAGGTTACGATGGGATCTGAGAAGGGTAATCCTAGCCTTCTTTGAAGGTCACAGTCATACTGCCATGCTCTTCTGTGTCAGGACTTGGTACCGGCCCAGCATGTGGGTTCCGGGGCCTCAGTCAGCCTGCCCCCTGTCTCGCCTGCCTCCATGTGGGTAGCTTCGGTTCCATTCCCTCCATTTCCACTAAGGCGTGACACGACACAACCTCCCTAATGAGGTTCTACTCAATTTCAGCACTGAGTACAAACTACCGGTACTTCTGTGAAGGTTCAATTAAAAGATACCCTGGGACTTGCCAATTACCATATGCTAATTCTCAGAACCTCGGAAAGTTTTTCTTCCTGTGGGACATATAGGTTGCTTTGTCTGCAACAAAGTTTTTTGTCTGTTTTGTGGGAAAGTGATAGTCGTTCTTGCCAGGGGAGCTTATCTGGCGAGGGAGAAATTGCAAATGAGACTGTAGCATCTAGTTACATCTGTAACATGAAGAAGGCTGGCTCGCAGTTCATTTTGAGGCCCGTTCTTCATTTACTAGGTATTTCTTGACACAGGGCCAGACCAGGAATCAAATACTGCATCAGACATGTGAAGTGGCCAGTCAGCCTGGGTGGTATGCTTCTGTCATGGCACGGCAGACACTCGACCAGAAGTTTCAAGATGGGGCAACTGTGAGATGGGCCTTGGGGGCGGGTGCTTTGATGAGACAATGAGGCTAAAGCCATTGGCAGAGGGACATATGCCAGACTTAAGAGCATGTCTTAGAAGTATTCTGAACCTAAGACTCAAAGAGGGCGGGGCACGGGGAGCAGCCATGGGTTAGGAAAAAGAAAGGATCTTGTGAAAGTCTAGAGTTGAGTGACTATGGTAGGGATGGGGGGACTGAAAAGAAATCCAGTAAGGCCGCATATGGATATGGCAAAAAGAAAAGTGACATGGCCTCCAGCTGAGGGAATAAGACAGTCACACTGTGAGGCTTGGTCATCAGGAGAGCTGAGGGGTTTGAACAGAGAACTGGGATGTTCAGAACTCTACAGGAGGATGCAGGATGGACAACAGGGAGGATAGATAGAGCAGTCTAGACCAGAGCTGGTAGTTTCTCATCCTATAGGAGAAAGAGACACCGGTGGAAGGACAGGAAAGATGTGGACTTACAACAGGGAAGAAATGAAATAAATACAAAATGTCGGCTTGTTTTATAGGGATAGTGAAAGTGACAGAGATAGGAAGAAATTACAGTTTCACAGCAAACAAAAGTATCCATCCCTGAGGCTGGGAACTTAAAAGAGCAACAGGAAACAAGCTTCAGATTGGCGCAGAACTGGTTCTTGGATCTGGGCTAGCCAAGGATGAGGAGATTGGAACTAGAGTCACAGGGCCCCCTCCACGGTATGAGTGTAGGGGTCTGAAGAGAAATGGGTCTAGGGCTGATTTCCAACACTTAAGAAGGGGACAAAGAAAGAGGAAACTATTTTAGGAAACAAAGAGGATAAATGGTTCCAAGAAGGTAAGGAAAATGCAACCTAAAATGTCAAACGCTACAGAAAGATTGGTTATAATCCAAAGTTATTATTGCATTGAATTATGGGGAGTCATTGTTGATGTTGGCAAGAAAAGACTTCGTCGAGGTAGCTGAAGACTTCCAGGATTAAGAAAGATGGAGGAATCATAGAGAAAACCCCAAGACTGATACAGGTGGGAGCCAGGCACAGGCCAGGGCTGCCGACAGCACAAGCTGGCCACTCCTGCAGGGAATGTTGTCTAAATTGTTCAGATGAGCTTAACCTTGGAGAAAACTCAAGGGCACCAGCAACCTGGTGACTTTAAATTTCTTACAGATGCTGTGGCTTAAGCTCAAACAATGCTTTGCTTAAAAGAGGAAGACTCCGGGAGCTGCTTCCACTCTCGATAGAAAATTGTCTTTTCCTGAAGAGAAGTGATGCAGAAAAGAACTCTTGGGAGAAAGCCAAATACTCACATATTCATGGGGAAAGAAAATAGCAACACAGTAAAGCCAATCATTTGGAAAATTTTCCACATAAATACTTTTAGTCATTTGAGGTAGCAGATTTTCTCCAAATTAAACTGTTGCTATGAAAGTCAATGTCAGGAAACGGCTAAACGCAATAGTTTTTAAGCTGTGCACTGAATCCCCAAACAGGAGCCTTGCGTTCATTTCTCACTCTATTTTATGCTCTCTGAATCTACAAAGGTGGGACGTGCTGCAAAAGAGGCATTTGCGACTTCTCTTGGGGGAGGAGAGGCATCGTATTGTTCACAAGCAACAGCTGCTGCAGAGTCAGGCCAGGCATTAACAATAATCAGAGGACTTTATAAGCTGCCAGGCCTTGGTGAGGTTGGAGGGACAGTGAGCTTTCATGGGGAAGTAGAGAATCTATGTATCACTGAGGAGACATGAATGTGCACTACACTCTAAGAAGTGAGCCGACCTCAAGGTGTACCAACAATTTTTGCCTGACATCAGTGAACCTTCAGTGACACCTGGGCAAACTTACCTATGAAAATCTAGATCGTTTTTATCTGGAATCATGGAGTAGCTGCCATCTAAATAGCTATGACAAACAAGGGCGAGAGGCTTGCCAAGAAGGGCACACAGTGGCAAGCACTGCGATTAAGAAACAAGAATATTCTCACAGGACAACGGAAGCATTAAGATGGAGCAGAGAGAGGGAGTTTCAGTTAAGGTCCAGGAACCAACACTGAACTGTTCCACTCTACTGTACCAGCCACACGATTTGCTCTGCTGAGATAAACTCAGTTTATAAAAAAACTTTCTTTCCAGAGTTAAAGTCATGAACCTCAACATTCAGTATGGCAGTGTTAAACATGTATGTGCTGAGGTCTCCCTACCAGAGGGACAGCAGCAGCAGCAGCAGCAGCAGCAGAGGCAGCAGCAGCAGCAGCAGCTTCTCAGGGAATGGGTTTTTTACCTGTTGGAAAATCCATTCTGGGCTCAAATTTGACTCAGAAGGTTATTCTTCCCACCATATGAGGGAAAAGCCTCCATGTATAATACATATACATGAGTCAAGCTGTTCTCAGTAAGATAGTTTGGGGTGACCACATCATAGGCTGGAGAACCGTTTCTTGGACAACTATGTGACAATGGTTCTTAGCTGTGAGCATAATTAGAACCACTAGAACTTACCAAAAGCTGATGCCAGGACACTAGCTGCTTACTAATTCCATCAAATCCTACTGATGGGACCCAAGCACTGACACTTTGTGAGACATTCCCCCAGAAAATGCTAATAAATAAGAACCAGGCTGGAGACAATGCCAGGCAGCTCAGCCGGAGCCTAGAGAAGGCAGCTGGCCGCCTTTACCCCTGGGCCCAGAGGTTCCCAAGAATAGTGAATGGAGCCTGTAATCAGTATTTCCAGTAAGTTTCTGAATGATACTAACGCTGCCAGCCTGGGGACCACATTCTGAGAACAACAACATAGATAAATATATACATTAAAGGGACTTTACCTGACTATTGTTATCAAGACAAAACCAGGTACAAATTACTACCTAGGCAGAGCTTATTTCTGTATGTGTGCTACACAGCACAGTTACTGACTTTAGGTCCAATCCAAACTAGACATTTATGATGGTGCTATTAGCATCAAAACATACAGATGGCAGGCTCCCTGGGTGACCACAGCCTGAGGGCTGGGATCAGTGTCGTAAATGGGCAGTCTTAATCAATGGTTGTTACAAAGTTTGTTTTTCTTCAGATGAGCAAAACATATCTCGATGACAGCTGAGTCTGTTCAGTAGATTCAAGGCAGAAGGGAATAACCAGATGCACAGTCACCCAAAAGAGGAGGAGTGTCCTCCCTCTCCCTCTCAGAATAGTCCTGTGAGCTACAGAAAGGTGTGCACTATATCACAAGCCGCAAAACCCACAAAGAAAAGAAGTCCATTTCCTGTTGGATATAATCAGTTCTAAGCCATTTATGCAAAACACCTTGAGATGGAATACAGATTTGACCCAGGAATTCAGGATTGAGGGGGGATAGGACAAGGTGTGAAAAGAGGGCCCAGGATGGGTGTTACAAATGTCACATTTGCCTTTTCCCTATGTTAATCCAACAAGCCACTTCTGCGGATGTGTATTTACCCTTCCCTAAAACCCTTCCCAGTGGTTTCCACCTGACTTTCTGTAATCCATTTTATAGTCTTACATATACTCAAAATTCTTCCTACACAACTCCTTGCCAATAGTATTTTAAGTGGGCATAGGGACTATAAACTGGGGTATCTGCTGAGATTTTAAAACAATAAAACTGACAAAAGCCCATTTTTCCGCAATCATCTTGTCCTAGAAAGTCTTAACACAGTTGATGATAAAATAGCCCTCTTCTGTAGCACACTCCATGACCCCATTCTTAATCATTCCGATCAACAGTTGTCCTCAGTTAAAAACCAGGGCTTCCAGGTGACAGTATTTCTGTAGCAGCCCCTGGCATAGAGGGTCCTGGGGGGGGGTTGATTACTTTGATCCCCAGTGACAGTCATAAAGATTTACCCACTGACTTTACAGTTATATGGCTCTGACTCTCCCATGGTCCTTGGGTTCACATCCTAGCTGCCCAGGTCATATCCTCCACTGAATGACAGATGTTTGAAACTGTAACCAAGAGCCCTTTCTTTCCTAATAGCCCTACCTCTTTCAAAACCTTCTTCCTAAGACCAAACTTGGAGTCATCCATTGTGACGGTTGCCATGGGAGATCATGTTGATGGCTCCAACCTCTCAGTTCGAGTACCTGTTGAGAGACAGGCTGCAGACTGCACAACTCCGGGGCCTCATTCCTACCGACTGCCTGACAGGTTCCTGTTTGTTCTCAGTCAGTCTTACCCTACCTATGGCTTTAGCTCATTTTATCATATAGCAAATTTTGCAGCTTTCAACATTATTTACTAGCTACCCTGCGCCAGGCCCTGGACTAAGCCTCTCTTCCTCTTAACGTCTACAGCACTTAATTCTCCTACGTTCTCTCCCAGGTGAGGAGACACGGATCCAGCTTTGCTGTATCTTCTCACTAGCTTTGGAACCAGTGTCCCATAATCACCGAAATCCATTGAGTATCTTGCTTTCTTTTCTTTGGACGTCAACCCCTCCAGTTCTCAGTCCTAATTCTTTGTTGAATGTGTTGCACATTTATTCAAAGCTTTACAGGATGCTTATTTAACACACCCCATGATCATTTCATTTACTCCAGCTGACTGGCAGTCACATCTCTTAGGTCATATGTAATTCCCCTCCTGAGCAGGGAACCTCAAGAACCTGCTTCACTGAATAGGTCATTGGCCTTCCTTTCTCGGGCCTTGTCCTGATGGCCTTGCCAAGGTCCATCTTCTCTCATTCTCGGCAGGAGCCTGGGCTCATAGTCTCATAAACTTAGTTGTTGTCCCTAGTACCCTGCTTCCTTACTTTGGTTTCAGCCTCAGTCTCTAACTACCTCATCATGCTCTTCTCCCATTCATACGAGTTCTTCAAATGGGTGAGAATGTATCTACTAAGGCTGACTCCTTGTTAGAGGCCATCTTCATTTTCTTAGAAAGATCTATGAAGCCATTTTGTAATTAAAGAAGATATACTCTACGTTCAGTTCCTTCATCATTTGCTCCATGCTGGCTGCAGCCTGGCCTCTGTTCACTCTGGAAACCACGCTCTGCAATATTACCACAGGCTGCAAATTTGTACATGCGTGGGTCTCGTTCAGAGCCTCACTCCCTGTGAAACCTATTGGCAATGCCCATCCTAGTGGCCACCTCTCTCATGGAATATGTCCCCTCTTTCTGGCTGCCCTCACAAACTCGATCTTCAGGTCCTCCGCATCTGTCCATTCAAGGCCCCAACATAAATTTTCTTATTTTCTCAATTAAGAAAAAAAAACTCTCAAAAATATAGCCAGCTCACTGAAAGCCTTGAACTCTCCTCTCCTTCAAAGCTGCAAATCCTTTGATCTTTTTTTTTTCTGTTGTAAGTTCAGGATTCCTCTCAGGCAAATCCCACAAGAGCAACTACACTGCTAGCTAAATGCAGATCTACTGACTTATGGACAGCCAGTGATGTTGGATACAACCAACTGACAGTCTCTTGTAAAAACCTAGGAACAAAGACTCATGACAAATCTAAATACAAACCCAAAGGGCCTCTTTGCAGCCCCGGAGAGGCAAGCCTCATGTATCTTGGGGAGAGCTAAGATTCCGTACAGTCAGTTATTTGGGGATTGCTATGGCTCAAGGACAGACAGTTAAGTTTGCACTGCTAATAATACCTTATAACACAAATGTAAAAACTCAGCCTAAAATATTCATAGCAGAGTCATTTTAGCTACTTAAAAGCCTAAGAAAAGCACTCACAGAACGTATGACTTTGAGCAAGATGACATCTTGGGGCCAAGAAAGTCTCTTATATCATTAAGGAAATGACTTGAGGTGGCTTCCTATTTTGATTTATTACCTAGAAAGTACCTGATAAGTTGGAGATGTCTTCTAAAAATAATGACTTAACTATTAAAATAGTTGACTTTTTAATCCTCTTCTTCTAACAGAAATTGAAAACCAGAGCCAAGTGCCTATTACGGCCAAATCTAGAAGTTAATAATTAAACGGCACTGTGGTAGACATCTGTTGTTTTGAATCTCTCTAGCACGTACTGTGGTAGTTAAGAATTGTCTCCCAGAGGCTCCGGTATTTGAATATGTGGTCCTCAGTTGGTGGGGCTATTTGGGGAGGTTTAGAAGAAACAGTCCTACTGGGGGAATAGTGTCATGGTGGGAGAGGGGAGACTTGGAAAGCTTAAAGACCTATTTCTAATTTGTTTCCTCTATTTTGTGCTTGCAGCTGAGGATGTGAGGTCTTAGCCATTAGCTGCCATGCCTGCTGCTTGCTGCCATGCTGTCCCACCACAAAGGACTCTTAGTCTCTGGAACCAAAAGGTGAAATAAACCATTCCTTAAGTTGTGTTGGTCACTGTGGTAGTTTGAATGGGTATCTTTCACATAGGTTCATATGTTTAAATACATGGTCCCCAGTTGGTAGAATAGTTTGGGAAGGATTAGGAGATGGGACTTTGTTGTAAGGGGTAAGCTTTGAGGTTCCAAAAGACTTGTGCCATTGCTAGTGTGTTTTCTGCCTCCTGCCTGTGGTTCAAGATGTGAACTCTCATGTTCCTCCGGCTGCCTGCTGCATATTACTTCCACATTGCCGTCGTGGACTCTGACCCTCTGCAACTGGAAGCCCAGAATGCACTCTTCTTCTCTGCACTGCCTGGGTCAGAGTGTCTTATCACAGCAATAGAAAAGCAAACTAGAACAGGCATGGTCTTTGATCACAGCAACAGAAAAGAAACCAACGCACTACTCAAGGAACATCAACCCTTTTCTATAGAAGTGCAGTTCCTTATTCCATGGACGTCTTTTGAGTGATGAATTCAGTCAGTTTCCCCACTCCTGAGAATAAGAAATCTACCTGTGCTCAGCAATGGTTAACAATGATAATTATTAATATATTAATATGAATTTACCTGAAATCAGCAATGGTTAGTAATAATAATAATAACAATAATAATAATACATTACAGAGATGACCACTGCAGTTGGCTCTGAGTGGGCATATGACTTCTGAAACAATGAGACTCTTTCTCTGCAACTTCTATTATGGATACTGAAAAGAAAAATTTTTCTCTCTGAGGTCACTATGCTAGAAAGATCTGAACCTGGAGCTGCTTGTAACCAGCCCTCCTCTTCCTCCTAATGTCTAGCGCATCACGTGGAGGAAATCCATATCAATGCACGAGATGCTGGAAAAGGAGGGGGGAGGGGGGAAGGACCCAAAACACATGTTAGCTCTCTGAAACAAGACCCAATCCTGGACTCCAGTGCTTTTCTACCTAAGCTAGCTTATGTCAGGCTCTGTCAGTTGTTTGAGGGGATCCTGACTAATAAACATTTCATCTATGAAAAAAAGAGACTATGTATCTTTTTTTTTTTTTTTTTTTTTTTTTTTTGGCTATAACAGACTACATACCACTAGCTGTGCGAGGTGGTAACTTTTAGGAGTAAGTGAAATCCTAAGCAGATGTGTTTTGTTTTACATGGGCGTGGCATTGTCAAGGACTCCGATGTCTCAGCCCCATGGCAAGACCTTCCCCCAGTGAAGCTGGAAGGGGTAATGGCAAAGTTTTTCCCTGGTCTGTGTGCCCATGTTGAGAGTGTGTGTGCTGAAAACATCTGCCATAGCTTTCTCTCCCAGATTGCTTCTACTGAAAGCAGATAAACTTGCCTGCTAGTTCAGTCACATATAATAGCCCTGTTTCCTTGTTTATGTCTATTAGCAACCCAATCAGCTGTATACAACAATTCCACCTCCATGTTTAACTGTAAAAAACAAGTCTGCTGAGCTTCCAAGGTGCTGTGGCTTCTCCATGACAGAGTCCAGACCATCTGATCCCATTTTTCTGCAAGGATGTGGCATCTACTGGCTCATTTCCCAAACTTATGACTCATGGAATGTAACTATCCCACATGTGGACCATGATATATGGGTCCAAGTAAGTTTTGGAAAAACTAACATGAAGCAAAAAGAGAAGAAGAAGAGTTAACAGAAGAGTTGCTCATATTCTCAGTACTTTGGAGGCAGATATAAGGAACGTTCAGAAGGAAGTTTTAATGAGCTCATTGTCCAAATTTATTTGTTAATAGAAAAGTTGTCAGTAGAATCCACTTTAGCGAATGTTACTTGCCTTTTGTAAGCAAGCAGGAGTTTTCTAGTAAGCTAACAGGCACAGACATGTATCTACTTACGCCAGTATATTATACACACCACAGATTTGTATGTCTTCCTTCACTACTATGTCACATTTCCTTCACACAGTATCTGTGACTTGGTGCCTCCTGCAGCTAACGAAGTCCATAAGACATAAAAGATAAACACCCTGAATGAGAGGCAGAATGAATGGTGGATGAGATGAAAAGCAATCCCACCAACTACCCCAGGAGTTGGAAGAGGAGAAGGAATAAAGGAGAACAAACCTCGTGTCTGATTTCTGTGAACAATCAGAAAAGTTAAAAGTCACACCTACCAGATTTACTAAATCTGGGACTAGAGAGGAGCAGGCTGGGTCCATGCCACTACTTTTTTTTTTTCCTATTATGAACTGAAAGTAAGCCTCGCTGGCTCAGAAATTCACTTACTGCATTACTTGCATATGAAATCCCTATGTGCACCAATATACAACAGTCATCTTTCTGCAACACACATATAAAACCCTGAAGTGGTGGTTGTTTTTTTTTGAATCATCAACTCAATTAAATTATGAAATGACTGTGGCACTAGTGAGGCTTGCCTCTGGGTATGTGTGTGAGTGTATTTCTAGAGAGGATTAACTGAGGAGGAAGAATTCTTCCAAATTAGGCTTGACATAATCCCAATGGCTGGATTCCCTGGATGAATACAGTAAAACAAAGGAGAAAATGAATTAAGGGCTGGCATCCCCTTCTCTCTGCTTCCTGACCCACTCAGATGTGAATGAGCAGCCTCTCCCTCCCGCTGCCACAGTCAAGAGCCAACACTGCTATTCTGCCTCTCCTGCCATAAGGAACTGAACCATCTTGAGCTGAAACCCAGATAAATCCTTCTTCTCTGAACTCACAAATGGGTTGTAGGTAGACTTAGTTTGGCTTCATGATTCGTATGTACTTGAGTTTTTAAAAATTCTTTAAGATGATAAATGGCCATTTTAATGGTTGTGTAAGAAGGAAATCCATTACACAGCTTCCTTAGGAAGCTTACCTCAAGTTCTTGTTCAGCTTTCATATATATATATATATATATATATATATATATATATATATATATATCAACAATGTTTTTAAAGGCAAGAACAGTATAAACATGAGTAGTTAGTTTCACTGGAAGATGTTTTAGAAGAACCCTCAAAATATACACAATATTTTTGATGACCAAAGATCCAAAGGATGTGCCTTTTAAAGGACAGAACTTATATAAACCAGCCTAATAAGATATGCTAGTATGCTATAAAATTCCAGTCCCCAAACAGGTTTTATCTCCTTTTACTTGAGCTGTAGTGGGCACCTTTTTCCTCAGGTAGACAATGCATGAAGGTGAGGCGGAAGCCGGATTCTCTGCTTCACATCCCGCTGGCAGGTGCATTTCAGCCCTTCCCCTCCAGCAAGCGATTTAAGTAAACAAGAGTCTTAAAGCCTAACTTCTCAACACTGCTTTAAAACTCTCTTTCCATTTCCTTTCTTCCTTCCCAGGTCTCTCAGAACTTTTGCAGATGGCAAACATCAAAAGGACCAGAGATTTTTTATAGTGATTCAGCTGCCCACGGCAATGCAGTCAACCTTGATTTTTCTTTCAGCCTGGGAAGTGATCAGCGGAAAAGCTCAACAAACAGCTTTAACATCTGAGGCCAAAAAAGAAGCATAAAAATTTACTTTCATAAACACCTCTGGGGAAGGTCGATGCCTTAGTTCCTCTTTTTTATGTTTTTGGTTTTTTTCTTTTTTAAAAAAAAAAACAACCTTTCTTATTTCTGTCGTAAGAATATTATAAAATGTTTACTGTTAGAACAGGGACGGGCAGCAGGGAAGACAGATGATTTGGTAAAGTGGTTGCTTTGCAAGCATGAGGGTCTCGGTCTGGATTTCCTTGAACTCATTTAAAAATAAAAAGCTGAACATGTGGCATGTACCTATAATCCTAGTGCTAGGATGTGTGTAAGAAGCACAGGAGGCTCCTTGGTGAGTCTAGTGTAATGGTGTCCTCTGGATCCAGCGAGAGACATTGTCTCCAAAATTAAGAGAGAAGTGAAAGAAGAAACTCAACATAAATAACATCACACAAACACCAACACACACATGAATATATACATGCAAATCACATGCAGAGACACCTGTGGCTGTCACTCAAGGAAGAACATCTGAGGTTGCCCTCAGGCCTCCTCAAGTGAATGTTTACACACTCGCACCCACCCACATGCTCACCCGCACACGAGCACACACACACATCCACATAGACACACACACAAACATTTTTCTCTAGCCATATAAAGTATTCTTTTAGAGAACAACAGTGAAGTACACTAATTATTGGTTGTGATTTTTCTAGCGCACTTTTCCTTGTGGTCCTCGGAGCTGGCTTACTCCTGTTCCAGTTAGCATGTTAGCTTCTTCAGTGGTTCCACCTCCACTGTGCCTCCCAGAACAGCCTTTTCTCTGCCTGAGGATTCAGCCTTCTAGTCAAAACCCTGGGATAAAAAGTCCTTTTTTTCGTTAGCAATGGACACCCCCAGAAAGCAGTGCCACTGGCTTCTGGCTAAGGTAATCCTGCCATTGAGCATGATTGGTTAAGAGGGAAACCCTGTTATTTCCTTTCCTAAATCACAAAGTGGGATATGGCCACACCCATCTTCCACAGGGAATCTCTTAGGATACCTCTCAGAGAAAATGGAAAAGCTGGAGGAGGGCCATAGACCAGAGGATTATAATGAAACTGGCTTCCAAGAATGGACAATTTCCAAACTTTAATGCTATGTCAGATTTTAATGAAATCCCTAAGTGGGGAGCGAACAGAGGAAAGGAAACATGGAAAGATGTAGAGGAGGCTTTCTCATGCAGGTTGCTGATATGAACATGACAACTGACACTACCAAATTTTTTTTTAGCGAAAAGCCTACTATCGGTCTACTTTGATATAGCTGACCAAGAAATAGGCTGTGTCTCTTGTAGGCATTCTTCACATAGTAGAACAACAACTTAAAAGGCTCCTTAGAGAAGAATGTCATCACTCTTTCCAAAGACTGCAGGACCAGAGAACACAGACCTGTTTTTCCATGGGACCTAAACATGACCCCTGTCAACAGTGAGGTCTACTGATTCCACAGTCAGCTGGCAAGAGGTGTCAGCGCTGTTCCTTAAAGGGAGACTTTTCCTCTAACCTAAGTTGCTAGGCAATCAGTCCCATTGCCTGGAACTGAGTTAATGGCTATGATGCTGATTCTTAGTGATGAAGCCAGCCTTGTCGTTGGTGTGAAACTCGACAGGCTCTCCACCAGACTCTGTAGTATAATCTTCCTTTCAGAAAATGTTTCTGTCTTCTTATTATGTGTGTGTGGATCTGCATGCCATGGCGTACATATGGAGAGCAGAGGACAGCTTTGGGAGGTTGGTTTTTCCCCTTCTACCTTCATATGGGTTTTACAGATTGAACCCGGGTTGCCAGACTTGAGTGGCAAGCATCATTGCCCACTGAGCCATCTTGCTGGTCCTGCACTATAATATTAATTGTCCTCTTTCAGATGCCACAGTTCATATCTGTCAAGCTCTAGGTGCTGTGGTCTGAATGTGATATGTCCTCTTATAGGCTCATGTATTCGAACATTTTGTCCCCAGCCAATGGTGCTGCTTAGGAAGGCGGTGGAACGTTAGACGGAGAGCTTTGGTGCAGGAGGTCTGGTAGAGGGGTTGTCTTAGTTAGGGTTGTATTACTGTAAAGAAAGGTGATAACCATGGCAACTCTTATAAAGGACAACATTTAATTGGGGCTGGCTTACAGTTTCAGAGGCTTAGTCCATTATCATCATGGCGGGAAGCATGGTGGTGTGCAGGCAGACATGGTAGTGGAGAAGGAGCCAGTAGTTCTATATCCGGATAAGCAGGAGCAGAAAGGGAACCTCTAAGCCTGCCCCCACAGTGACACACTTCCTCCAGCAAGGCCACACCTACTCTAACAAGACCATACCTCCTAATAGTGCCACTCCTTATAGGCCAAGCATTCAAATACATAAGTCTATGGGGCCATTCTCATTACAAGCATCACAGGGCATCTTGAGGTTTGATAGCCTAGCCCCCCCTTTCTCTCTACTATCTGCTTGCTTCCTGACTATGCATAAAACTATGACCAGCCATCTCAAGAAAATAAATAATATAACCTGTTATTTAAAACGAGAGTATTCATAAAGGCTTTCTTTTGAATGTATAACTTTCTGATACCCTGTCCCTGGTTTCCTAAAGATTATCATCAAAAAACATGTCTGCTGCTGATGTCCTTGGCTTAGAAAATAAGTTTGTCACTTTAGCCAGACAGACAACATTTCCTCCTTGCATGTGTGCTTTAGACAGAAACATCCTGTGTAGAGAGCTCCAGTTCTATGCTTTACGATGACCATATGCCAAATTGGCATCAAAGTGGACAAAAACAAGTCTTCTGAAAGGAGACCAATCACCACCGTGATTGGAGGGAACCCTGTCTGAGCCTGCTCCAACATGAGGTTGCTTATGGATGTCCTAGGAAGGGAGGCTTTGCCGGGTAAGGGTAAGCTTTGATTAACTGGAATGTGTGAGTCTGAGAGAAAAAAAAAGCAAGCCTCAAAAAGCCAAGGTCTTTTAAAACATTTACAGCTTTCAAGCCCACTCATGCTCGGCTGATGAGGAGAACCCTTTTCTGTTTGGGGGATTTGAAAAGAGCAACAATAGCTTAAAAAGTGAACAATTCTCTCCCCAGTTGATGAAAACTTAAAGAGTGCTTTTCAATTAATAACGCACATTATAAACAGAGACACCGTTGAGTGTTCATAGAAGTGCTATAAATGTACGTGCTTACTAGGTATATAAGAAGTAGCATGTGTTTTAAAATCGCCTTAAAGTTATTCTGACATACATGTTTGCTACAAAATAATTTACCAGTGAACTAATATTTCAGCAGTGAACTAATATTTGCCTTCTCTTTAGACTAGATGTTAAGAAGAGTCAGTTAGTCTATAATTATTTCCAAGAAATGTTTGGAATGACATATAGTATTAAGTATAAGGGAGCAGAGCAGCATTAAAAATCAAAGTTACCAGAGCCAAGTGGAAGGAAGAGATGTTTCCAGGCAACTGCCATGAGTTAATTATCACCGCTGGGCCATGGATTTATTTCTCAAAGAGGTCAGCACTTGCTCCCCAGGTAGGACAGCCAAAACTATGCCTGTTGAGCACAATGTTTCCAGACCTGTCTCACCAGCAGGGGACTGGGCTTAATTATATTGTATTTCTCAGAAAGTGGGTGGTAAGCCAACTTCACTAACATCTGTAAAATGCAGACTCTTGGAACTACCTCAGGCTGTCTATGGGGAGGGCCCTGCCATGTACTGTAGTACATGGAGTAGAATTTTTTGTCTTGCTGCAATTGTACCCTGTTGTATGAGAAATGCAGGTAAACTGGCACCAGAGAGTAAGAAATTATTCTAATGACTGGTGCCTTGGATACTGTACTATACCTTGCTGTTTCCTTGTGCTGGTGATGTTTTTGGTCCACAGCCCACTAATGGTTGCCCCAAGGGTTTGACCTCTTATGACTGAAAGCTGTTCCTTCTCTAGCATCCTGTAGTAGTTTGAATAAGATGTCCCCCACAGTCTGCAGTATCTAAAAGTTTGGTCCCCAGTTGGTGACATGGTTTAGGGAGGCTTAGGAGACATGGCTTTGTAAGATACAGTAATACATCCCTGAGAGTTTTGATTGTGTGTGTGTGTGTGTGTGTGTGTGTGTGTGTGTGTGTGTGTGCGCGCAATCTTCAAAAGCTCTGGTTCCTCTCAAGCTCACTCTAAAAGGTCTGTGAGTGCTATCATTTCTGTTTGTTCTGCCTGGGGTCCATTCTACTGCTGGTCCTTGGCATGTGTGAGACACTCCTTCTACCATGTTCTACCATATTCCATGTAGTAAGAATGATCTGTTCTTTGCTCGCCATTATTATTTACAATTGGTTGATATTCATTGGCTTATTCTCTGTATTTGAAGTATAGCTTTATGAATGACATATTCTCCAAATATTCTGAGGCATGGATTACTGTAACCCTTGCCATTTTCCACTTTCTCAAATATTTATTGGCAAAAAAAATTGCCTTCAGAGGTACTGCCCACCTTTGATAATTTCATATGCAGCTACAGCCCAATTTCCTACACTGTATCTATCAGCCCTCCAGGTATACCTCTAAAGATTCACCACCATTTAACACTAATATACCATTGGGATGGTTAAATCTGATTGTCAACCTAGAGCATTAAGTGAAGCATACATTTGAGTGTGTCCAAAGAGGATTCATGATTGGTTAAAATCTGGCTGAATGTGGGTGGCACCATCGTAAATCCCTTCTGTAAGTTGCTTTTTGTAAAGCATTTGGTTACAGAGATGAGAAAAACAACTGATATAAACACCAAGTAGTTCTGTTCTTTCTGCTTGTTACTGGTTCCTGGGAGCTTCTGTCTGTCTCTTAAAATTGAGGATGGTATCTATTGCCAAGCTCTTCCTAGAGACTGTAAAACTCTTGTCAAAAAATATGGGCTGCATCCTTGAGATGTGCCTCTCACCTCTAGCTCAGAGCCTCTCCTTTTGGTCGTAGATTACCCAGTAAATCACTTTTTAAAGGTCATGTTCAGCACATCTCAGGATTTACTTGGCTTCCGGAGCTATCTGCATTAGGA